AAGTATTATTTCTGGGAGGATTGATTTGAGAAAGTTAGGATTAGTGGAAGACTTTGAAATTGGATCATATGGAATCATTGATACAATGCCCAGGAACCATCAGAAAGCCATTTGTAGCTAATTTTGACATTTAGAAAAAGACCCTTGCCTACCTCATGGCTGCCAAATTTCTGGGCCATGTGAAAAAGTTACATTTAGGGAAGCAAACCCTGGAGCTCTTACCAGTAGATGACCATTCCACAGCCAGCCTGTGAAGGCATTCTCTACGATGTGTGATAACAACTCTGTATTTCGCTTTCTTCTCACCAAACTATCAGGTTGGCAGCACAGTGGCATTCATTCCTACCTTGCACATCAGGACACACAGGCCCAGAAAGCTGGAAATGCCTATTTGTGGGCCAATCTAGGTCCTGCTCTTTTCTTCTTCTTCTGTGGGCTACTGCCTGTCTACAAAGTATCAGTTTGCTTTTAAAAAATGGCTTCTTGGTTCCCCTGTTCAGTGACATTCCTACCTCCCATTTCAAAAGACAGTAGACCCTGTGATGAGAGACTCATTTTTTTTTTTTTTTTTTTTTGAGACAGAGTCTCGCTTTGTTGTCCAGGCTAGAGTGAGTGCCATGGCGTCAGCCTAGCTCACAACAACCTCAAGTTTACTCATTTGAGTAACATTTGACTTCCTGGATAGCGATCCTTCTGCCTCAGCCTCCTGAGTAGCTGGGACTACAGGCATGTGCCACCATGCCCGGCTAATTTTTTGTATATATTTTTAGTTGGCCGATTAATTTCTTTCTATTTATAGTAGAGACGGGGTCTCGCTTTTGCTCAGGCTGGTTTTGAACTCCTGACCTTAAGCAATCCGCCCGCCTTGGTCTCCCAGAGAGCTAGGATTACAGGCGTGACACCGCGCCCGGCCAAGACACTCATTGTTGTAGTAGTCACTTGCCCTGGGAGTGTCGTGGTAGGATTTCCCTTGAAAGAATAATTTTGTGAAATCGTCACACTACTATAGGACAAGGTGGTGTCCCCTGCGTGGTTCTGGGGGTGAGGCACAGGAGGAGTAAGATAATAAAGTTATGTTTAGCACAAAAAGTATATTGACTGTGAGCTATTGAAGACAGGAAGGAAGGGGGGGACAGAACTAAAGGCAGGTGGCCAGCTTCCCAGCGTTGGTTTGTTCATTGCAGAGTGAAAATAATTGACTTCTCATCTTAAGTTGGCCTTACATTTTAGGGATGATTTTGTAAATGAGTTAGTTTTTCTTTTCTTTTTCAATTCTGAAAACCGTATTTCTCGTTCTAAGCTACGTAGCTGGAGGTAGCTCTCGTAGTTTGCAAATGTGTGTGTGAAGGTTATAATCCAACAGTTGTCCTACAGGCAGTGGTTTTTTGGTGTTCTCAGTCATATATTAATACATGCTTTTAAAAATAAATGAATGGACCGATTGAAACGGCAAGGACAAAAGGGCCACTTTGACTTTGTTGTGTGGGTTTTGTGTTTTTTTTCTTTCAAACAATTGCACCTAGCACTGGGAGAAAATTCCATGCTTGCTTGTTCCAAATTCTAGGAGACTTAATGTCTGGTTTTGGCTTTGTTGGGTGCCTAATCCATTGAGAGCTTGTAGAATCCAGGGCCACGTGTGAGAAGAGACCAGACTGAGGACAGGAGCAAGACACGCGAGGATGGCACCGTAACTCTGTCCTGTGTCACAGTAAGCAAGTACAGGGGGAAGTGCGTGGCCTGCAATCATGGGGTGACATCCGCCCCACCCCCACAGGACGTCACAGCAGACAAGGAGCACCCTGAGAACCCTTAACACAGCATTTACACGTGCAACCTTATAAACATATTTCATGAGTCTCTCTGCTCGAGAAACATTTCTTCAGGAGCCCGAAGGTCCAGTTAGTCCAAACTAAAGCCGTTTGTGTGAGTGAGCCTCGCGGCCCAGCTGTTCCTCACATGGTAAACAGAGCGGAGGGCTGTGCACAGCTGCAGGCTGATGTCACCGTCTGGGGCCAGGCCTGCCCCCACTGGGCTATGAGAATGACAGCGAACTGCCCGCTCCCCCATCTGACCCATTTCCTCCCTCTGTCCTCTCTTCACCTCTGTCCTGGTGGCCAGCAGCACTGCACACTATCTGAGCTTGGTTTTTTTTTTTTTTTTTCTTTTGGTAAACACAGGAAATGGCCCTGTCCGGTGGCTGATGGGAAAGGATTTCTGTGTATCCTATTTGCTTTTAGAGTCTGATGCCCCATCATGGAACATTCAAACCGACTGCAGTTTGACAAGAAGCAGATGTGTTAAAATCAGGCAGGTGCAGCATGCCACTCACCTCCACTTACAAGCTCTTCTAGTCCAAGGCATCAAGCTGATGGTCCCTTTTAGTTTATTCCCGAGTCATTGCGTTCACTTGGACGTTCCTATCTCTGGTATGAGCTTTCAGACAGGCTTGGATCGTGTTTTTACCTTTTTTTTTTTAAACTTTGCTGATAACTGAAATTCCAAGGGAAGTAAGAGAAGAGTCTATGTCAAACCAGAATTTCTCTGAGCAGAAAGCTATTTGATGCCTTTACTGATTGCCTGCGAAGTATTTTTGTTGCCTACTTTAAGTTCTAATAGGGGATTATTTACATAAGGAACCTTCAGCGAAAGCGGGTAGCCCCATTAGTTGTATGTGTTGGAAAGTTCGTTGGCAGAAGCTGAGGTTGTGTTTACTCATTTGAGTAACATTTGACTTCCTGGATCTTTTTATCTCCTGTGGTCCACAGTGTCATAAAAGGTAGAGTGAATGTGAAGTTGGGTGTTCTTCAGCAATCAAGATAGCCTTTATCTTTTTCTAAATCCTTTCAAAGAGAAAACTTCTCATATTTAGTCCCAAAGGACTGAGTTGTCACTGATGTCCCGTGTGATCGTCCCTGTCATCTGGCCTCCATCCAGGATCTTTTTTGGGTCTTCAGCTTTTCTGCTCTGTGAGTGTTCCAGTCCCCAGGGAAAAGCATGCAATCTTCCGCTATCTCTCGTGTTGGAATGCGGATTTTTACCCTCGATACCAGGTTTTTATGTATGTCACATGGCTGGTATTTGCACACCGTGTTCAGAGCAGCGTTACAACAGCCAAGAGGTGAAAGCAACCCCATGTTTCCATCAGTGGATAAATGGATAAACCAATTGTGGCATATACGTACGATGGAATTATTATTTGGCCTTGAAAAGGAAGGCAATTCTGACACGTGCTACGGCGACATGGATGGACCTTTGAGGACATTACACCAAGTGAAATACGCAGTTACAAAAGGACGAGTGCTAGATGATTCCACTTCTGTGAGGTCTCTAGAGCAGTCAGATTCATGGAGAAAGAAAGATGGTGGCTGCAAAGAGACAGGGGAAGGGAGTTACTGTTTAATTGGTATGGAGCTTCAGTTTGGGGGGGACAGTTCTAGAGATGGATGGTAGACGATGGTTGCACAGTGATATAAATGCACTTAATGAGACTGAACTACACACTTAAAAATAAGATGGTTAACTTTATGTTTTATCTATTTCACCACATTTTTTTGTTGAAAATTATTTAAAAAAATCCCATCAAACCTTCTGGTCCACTATAACTAGGTGCGGACCACATTGAGTGCCACTCGCTGGGCCCCTGGTGCCTGCCCAGTCCTGCTGCTGCTCATGTGTCTGTGTCTCATCTTCTAGATCCCTCAGGGAGCCTCCCAGGCGAAGGCCCCGCAGTGGACCTCACCGGTGCAGCTTGGTGGGAAGGAAGGAAACAGAATCAGAATTCAAACTGCTCCCCCAAACCCCATCCTCTGCCACATACCAGCTCTGTGCCTCTGGGCGGATCACTTCCTCTCTCTGTGTTGCGTCCTAATTTATACATTTAGGAATCGGATTCTCCAAAGACCTCTGTGAGGGTCCCACAAGATAGCACAGAGAGAGCCCCCTTCTGTGCCAGCCATCCAGCAGTAGTTCTTTGGTTTGCTTTTTAAGTTTTAGTTCCTCTCCCGTTTAGTCAGCATTAGTGGATTTATTTGATTTCTTTTTTAAGGGTTCTTTTTAGCAGAGACTTCTTGCCATTATTCCAGTATGGCCTCTTTCGCCTCTGAAAGAGAACTGAGTTGGAGCCAGTGACCGGTATTTCTGCCACCACCTGGCATATTCCTGAGGAAAAAAGTCTACATCCTTGTAGGCAAATTGTCCCAGGAACCTTCCAGTTTCACATTTCTTAGGTAGCATAATCAATGATCTAAAATATCCTTTTCTCTGCCCTAAAACAATCTTTTTCCTTCCACAACTCCCGAAATACATGTTCCTTACCAAAAGAGACGTCAGGATTAACAGACTCACCAGTAACTGTTTTAGGTGACTCCAGAGCACTCTGGGGTGCTGAGAACATGCATTTCAGTGACAAGGACAGTAGCTTCCACTATATCTGTATTTACATATTGGTGATGGAAAGCTGGAATTGGCCAAAGTCAAGCTTCCTGGGAAATTCAAGCTCTTCTGGGATTATTAAAGTCCGTGTACAAGTGTCTCTGTATGTGTTCTGCCTTGTGTTGTGTTGTCAGTCATCCTGTTTGGGGTTGCAGTGGGGGAGAGGTAGAATGCGCTGTGATTTTAAATTGCATTCATCAAATTGCTTTGTCCTTTTAAAATATGTCAACCTTTCCATATATTCATATTGTGTTGGCACTCTTAAAATGTGTTCCTAAAACTTTTAACATTCTGGTGTTTTGATGTTCTGATACTTCGTTTTTCTTGCTGTGGTTTGGAAATAGCAATTTGAAATCAGGTCACATTAAGTACAAGCTGATGGTGCTCTTGCTTCCTGTCCCCGACCTGCCCCGCTGTTTCTGTTGCCATCCGGTCCCCAGAGAGCGGAGACATTATTGTGTTCACTCATCCAGTGGCATCACAGCCGTGCGTGTGACTGTTGTGAATTTAGGACATTTAACAGATGAAATGTCACCTTCCTTTTTTTTGTCTTTTTCGTCTCCTTTCAGTCACTGCTTCCACCACCTGTGAGAAATTGGAGAAAGCCAAGAACGAGCTAGAAACAGCCTACGAAGGGTTTGTCCAGCAGCACCAGGCCGATAAGACAGAGAGAGAGAATCGGCTCAAGGAATTTTACACGAGGGAGTATGAAAAACTTCGGGACGCTTACATCGAAGAAGCAGAGAAGTACAAGACTCAACTGCAAGAGCAGGTCTGTGCCTTTGGACCCCCGAGTGTGCTCTTGGCCGAGGCTGTTGACTTGAATTCTGATCGTGGTTCACTCCCTATGATGAGTTGCTCTGTGTTTTTTTTAGCTTAATGGTGAAAAGCATGTTTTTTTAATTAAATTTTTTCTTCTTAGGACCAAAGCAATGTACATATGTTGAGTGAAAGAAAGAAAGAAAACAGAAAGAAGGCAAAGATAAAATTTAACAGAACCCTTTATTCCACTGCCCAGAAATAATCCCATTGTGAACTTTCTGGTGTTTTGTTGCCAAACCATTGGTTTTCATTTCCTCTTCCTCCTCCTCCTCTTTTTTTTTTTTTTTAAATGGCACTTATTTAATAACCAATATTGTTTTCACTTAATAGCATATATATCGTAAGCCTCTTTTTAATTTCCTGGCTGCTGCTTTTAAACTCAGTTTTCATTTGGTAAATATTTACAGTGCTTCCTCCCAGCCGGGTGTGTGACAGGGACGGAGGAGTCAGGTTGAGGTGCCAGGCATTGTCCTGTCACTTGTAAACACATGCTCGTCCCTTCTGAGGGACTCGGCCATTTCCATCCGTCAGAGACCTCCAGAGAGCTGCCACGTCTTGTTCCCAGGGGAGGGACAGAGCAGAGAGTTGGGAGTGACAAATCCCAGGCCGGTGGTCCCTTACCCATCGTTTAACGTGCCAGGTGGCCCTTAAACTGCAGCACAAGCTTACATGTGCCATCTCCTATTGTCCCTGCTGCTTGCTCAACTCGGGGCTTCTGATTTTACTGTTAAACTGCGGTTTTGTTTGTTTCTTGCAGTTCGACAACTTAAACGCCGCCCATGAAACCTCTAAGTTGGAAATCGAAGCTAGCCACTCGGAGAAAATAGAATTGCTAAAGGAGGCCTACGAAGCCTCCCTTTCAGGCAAGGATTTTTTTTTTTTCTCTTTAAACAGGAAAAAAAATCTAATGGAACAGAACGATATGTCTCAGGACGGAAATGATTCATAACTTTCCCCTTTGGAGCAAGCCCTGTGGGGTTGGGTCTGGAACGTTCTGGGTTCCTTTTTGCATTGTCCATTGTTAACAGATGCCCTTGACCGCTGAGGGTTTAAATAGTAGTTTGTTAGAAATGCCAGCCTGTTAGCAAAGAGGGTGGACTTTGGCAGATTTTTAAAGGCCCATGTCATGGTGGTGGTGGTGGTGGTTGTCAGTTTAGATTCCTGGGAAGTTGGAAATGTCAATTTATGTCCCGGCCGCAGCGAAGGGTCCACACTGAGTGCTCTTGCCTCCCAACGCCACTGTGAAATGTCGATGGCACTTGCTGAATAAAGAGTCTTTTTTGTTTTTATATCTGTCATCATTGGAGGGGTTGAAGCGTATAGGAAGAATAAGAAGCCATTGCTTTCAGAACAGAATCGGCAGCACGGCCGAAGTCTTCCTACCAAACCAGCTGCATGTCACCAGGAAGCGAGTGGGCCCGTGCTACGAGCTGGCCGTGTGACCTTTAGCAAGGACGCTGCCATCAGAAAGACAAGAGCTGCTTGAAGTCAGACACAATAATATGTGAAAGTGGCTGCCTCAGGGGAGCCAGTTAGTAAACACTGTTTTTCTTCCTTCCTGCTGGAAGTGAGTTTAATTTTAGATGTCTGTTTGGCTCCTTGAAAAGAGTCTAATAAATCCCAGTGTTTTTGAGAGCCTGCCCTGAAATGGACACTTAGTGTTTCCTGAGGTCTCTTGGCCTCTGTGGACCTCAGTGTTGTCAGCCATAAAATGGGAATATCTTCCCTGCCCACCTCACAAGGCTATTTTGAGAACTGATGGCTTAATTTACAAGAAAGCATCCTATAAATGTAAAGTAACATCGTCCTGTCACTGCTTAATCTGCTCCTATGTCTGTATGTTTTAGCAGTTGTGCAGTACGGCCATCTCATAGAATCTTGTTGCCTTAAAAATATTTCTCTGCAGAAATCAAGAAAAGCCATGAAATAGAAAAGAAATCACTCGAAGATTTGCTTTCTGAGAAGCAGGAATCACTAGAGGTGGGTGAATCTCAGTAACTCCCTGCCCCCAGAAAATCCATCATTCTTGATGTTTCTGTGGTTTTGATATGTTTTCTGGCGTCTTCTCATTAATGTACATTCTGCATTTCATTGTTTGTGTTTCAGAAACAAATCAATGATCTGAAGAGTGAAAATGATGCTTTAAATGAAAAGTTGAAATCAGAAGAACAAAAAAGAATATCAAGAGAGAAAGCAAATTTGGTAAGTTACATGTGCTCTTTGATCACTACTCAATTTTTCTTCTGCTCAGTTGCCTTTCAGAGGCAACTAAGTGTTGAGCAGCCAGAGAAATATTGTGGGTTTGGAATCCTTTTCTTATCTAGCAATGTGCTTTTTAAAAGCTGTGTTAAACCAGCTTGTTCATTTAGTGGAGTCTTTTTTGGCATCCTAAAAAGTGACATACAAATGAAGTCCGAGATATTTTGGGTGGCCTAAGCTCATAGCTACAGGAAAACAAGACTATCAATGAGGATCAGAATTTTAATTGGAAACTTTCCTTTAAGAATAAAATCCACTGTATTGAGATATAATTGACATACCCCAAAGTTCACCCCTTTAAAATGTGCAAGTTAGTAGTTTTTAGTATATTCATAAAGTTGTGCATTGGCCACCAGTATCTATTTCTAGAACATTTCAGCACCCCAAGAGAAGCCCTCTACCCAGTAGCATCCAATCCCTATTTCCCCCCAAATCTCCCAGCACTAGGCAGCTACCAGTGTACTTTTTATCTCTATGGATTCGCTTACTTTGGACAATTTACACAAAGGGGATCATATAATATGTGGTCCTTTATGAAGGATGTCTTTCACTTAGCATGATGTTTTCAAGGTTCATTAATGTTGCAGCACGGGTCAGTGCTTCATCTCTTTATGGATGAATAATATTTCATTGTACAGAAGAATCAGAGGAATGCCACTTTCGAAAAATACAAATCTCTTGCAAGCTCAACTTACTCTTGCAATATGTATCGTACTCCCCTCCTCCTTTTTTTTATTTTTTTATTTTTTTTGGAGAAAAGAATTTTTCTTGCTGCTTCTGCCTTTTCCATTCCATGTGTGTGTTTGTGCTCTGGGACTGCAGAAGCAAAGCTTTTTCTCCACTTAAAATCTGTAGCCAGCTCCCAAAGTGCATGTGTGGATCTCTCAGGGAGGACTTTTGCTGATAATCTCATGAAGAGACCCTTTAGCCATTTGATAAAATTAGATGAGGTCATAGGAAACTTCAAAGCTATTTATTCTGGAAGATTCCTGAGGCAAAGTCAGTGATTTCGAAAGAAATCTGGACTCGCATGCAGAGTGCAAACCTTACTCATGGTTTCGGGAACAGGTTTTTAAAGAGCTTCCTAAGTACACAAAGGAGGTTCTTGTACTGCAGCTACTTTGGAAAAGCTAAAGAGGAAACAGGCTGAGGAACCCTGTGATATCCAAGGCTGTCGCCGAATCAGCATGCTGAGGTTGTGGAAAAATAGAGTGCATGTGAGTGGGGTCAGGGAGAAAGGAACAGGGTGGCAGGGAAGTAGGAAAAAGTGGCAGCCGGTACCTGGCTCCCTAATTTAAAAAGGGACACAGGAAGAAGTTATGCTGTTTCCCTTTAACAAAAATAAAGTAAGGATTTGCTATTTTCAGGGGAAAAAACAAGCATGTACACAGACATTATATAAAATTTATGAATTTTGTTATTGCATAATATTTGTACATATGTATGAAGTATATGTGATATTTTTATACATGCATAGAATGTGTAATGATCAAGTCAGGGTGTTTAGGATATCCATTACTTCAAACATGTATCATTTCTTGATATCGGGGACATTTCAGATCTTCTCTTCTAGATATTTTGAAATATACAATAGTCTAAGCTGTACCACCCTGAACGGCCGATCTTGTCTGAAATACACAATACATTGTTGTTCACTATAGTCACGCTACTGTGCTGTTAAACACTAGAAATTATTCCTTCTATCGAATTGTATGTTTGTACCCAGTAACCTACCTCTCTTCACCCCCCACCCACGTACCCTTCCTGGCCTCAGGTAACTAGCAAAAGAGCCCGGAGTTGAAGATCTGAGTGTTACTATAGTCAGGATTGGTCCAGAGCAGAAAACCCTGCCCTGGAGAATGGTTTTGATGATCTACTCTGTACCACTGGATCTTATCTAAGAAATTGTTTCATTAAACACCTGATCAGTAGATCTTACGCTTTTAATTTGTATCATAAATTGTGGATGGTTCAGTTGAATTTCCATCAATAAAGCAAGGAATCTGGCAGGGAGCCAGGCTGTTGAGGTGCTCTCAGAGGACATCTTCTGTTATGTAATATTTATTGTGGGAAAAATGTTAGGAGAGTATGTACTATACGCCAAGTAGGTTTTGGGGTGTTACGGCTGCCCTAGAAGCATGGCCCAGGTAACATAGTCCCATCATAAAGTAAGAAAAATCTAAAGACTGAGGACCTTGTTGTTTTTGTTATTTTCCAGAAAGCCCTATAAACATACTGCCTTTTCACTCCTAATCAGTTACTTTGATTAGAGGCAACTATTATTCCCTTTCCCCCTGCAAACACCAATAAAAGACTTGTAGATTGCTCTCCAGCCAGAGTCCTGTCTCTTACCACAAGCAATGGTTTTTCTCTGGTTTCCAGTAACATGTTTGATGCAAAGCAATGTTTTTCCATATCAACCTACTGATAATGAGTAAAATGTTTGTTTCCAGCATTATGACCAAAGCCTTTTGAGATTAAATTGATCTTAACCCTTCTTTTTTTCACCTCTTTCTTTGAAAGTGCTATTAAGAAGATGGAAGCCACTTGCTACTTGTTTATCTACCATCTACATTTAATCAAAGGCTCTTTATATTAAGAATTTTGGGACCATGTGATTGTGTGAGATGAGGCAGAGTGATACCTTGCTGTGTCTTTTCCAGAAAAACCCTCAGATCATGTATCTGGAGCAGGAATTAGAGAGCCTGAAAGCTGTGTTAGAGATCAAGAATGAGAAACTGCATCAGCAAGACGTCAAGTTAATGAAAATGGAGAAACTGGTATGTCTCTTTCAGAGCTGATTGAGCTTACTTAAGGGGTGAGGGGGGGCATGGGCTATATAAGTAACCTTAACACTTGTACCCCCATACTACGCTAAAAAAAAAACCAAAAAACTGATTGAGGATGTTACTGAATGGGGTAGTGTCTACGAAATAGGAATTGAGCTCTCAACTTAGAACTCTGTCGTTAAGTCGACTGCTGTTCAAAGACATTTGGAAATCATACAAAAGAGGTTACATTTTATTTTCCAGCTTTGTTGAAGGTTTATTCATTGCCGCCTTTTAAAACAGTTTTTTTCCCCCAAGGAATATCTACAGCAGCATTCAATTCTTGGGAAAACTATGACCAACAAATCAGGGCTCACATGTTTAGTGGTCTGTGAATCTTCACTTGCCTAAGAAAAAAATTTAAATACCTGTAATATAAAATCAGTACTTTAATATACCGCCAACTCTGGGCAGGTTTCTCATGTCCAAAATAGTTGAATATGTAAATGAGTGTCCCATTGAAGCAGCACAATCTACCTAAATTCTTCATCTTGCTTATTGGGGACCGGCATGCGATAAAAGAATGTGTGCTTTGATAAGATTAATCCAGCTGGACATATAGAAAGTGTTGTGAAAAATATGAATATAAAGTGTAGTCTGCAGCCTCTAGGACAAAGAATGATGCAGTATGTGACAAGTGTACCCAGACCTATGTGATTGAGTGGAGTTGCCCGGTGTTCAGTGTCAGTCTTGGCCCGAGCCTGAAACCCAACTGCTGCCAGGCAGGACTGTACCCATGTGGGCAGGGCTTGGCAGGGTGGTTTCAGTGATCCCAGCTATTGCTGTCGTCTGCACTTGACTATTGCACCAGCAGCCAAGCACTAATTGCCTCTTTTTCCTGCAAAACACAAACAAGCGCCTCATTAAAACCCAAACCAGCGCTGGACAGCAGGGAGCATGGTGGTCACTCTGTTTGGTGTTTTCTTGGCTTGAGGGGTTTGGTGTCGTTTTCTTCTAGAGACTATTACCCCTCTGTTGAGGGAGGTAATGGCGAAGCTCCCATGTGGATATATGGGCACTTTGAATTATCAGGAAATTTTGGTTTTTTTTAAAGGCAGGCAAAGAACTTGTGGTTGTTAATGGGCCCAACCTAGTATAAGATAGTATCCGCCCCTGCCAGAGGTCATCCTGTTATACTGAGTCCAATAACTCTAACCTGGCAGTCAGCGGTGACTCAAGACGATTCTGTTAATAATCAGTTGCTCTGTGTGCAATTCATGTATCAGAACTACTCCAAAAATTACCAACACATTTTAATTTTTGTTGATCCATAGTGTTTGTTTCTTGCCATGCCCAGGAAGTATCACGATAGCATCCATCAGCCCTGCGCTGTGTGTATATGTAAGAATAGGTTACCATGACGATGATGGGAAACCCACTGTTACCTTATTTATTTGTAAATTTCAGGTCTTTGAAGAAATTAAGACAACTCAGCACAAGGAGGTTTTCTAAGTGAGAAAGCTTTGGTATGAAAGCTAGCTCTACCAATAATTAGTTCTGTGACACCATCAGGACCAATTTCCTGTTCTATAGCATGGAGGATTGGATGCGATAATACTTAAAGGCCAATCACTGCTCATTCTCCAATTCCAGATTTTTCCACCCATGTTTTACCTAGAATTCCTTTATGATTGCTGAACATTTCGAGCTTGCTTTTTTTCTCACATTCCAGACTCATTTTCTGGAAAGTTAGTCCTATGCTACAAGGCCAGACACTTAGAATTAATGTTGACAGAGGTGTAATGTCGCCTCCTAAGCAGGTAATCAAATCTTACCTTTAGAAAGTGAGCTGGAGTATCATCAGCTCTTCATCATGTTAAGTGATTAAATGTCTTCAGGGAATCTTATCCTTTAATCTCTCTGCCGATCCATTTGCTTTTCTTGAAAGTTTAGCCTGGGCAGGCCCGAAGGATAGGCATATCTTTAGTTGAACTGGGGAAGGTGGCCTTCTGCAGTGTTAATTCTTTCACGGAATGCTCTACAGCGGTTTGTCGTATTGTCACTTTGTGTGGCTGCTAAGAGGTAAATGCTCAAGAGTAACCATGAAACTACGTTTAAGGCCGTACTAGACATTGCTGAGAACTGTGAACTTCTAGCCTGTGAGTTTTCATCAAATGTGGGAACCTTTTGTTTTGCAAAATTTGCCACAAGACGGTGTGTAGTAGCTTTTGATAAACGTGGGCTGTCCAGCTGCAGTGTTGGTTTGATCTTGAAACAGAAGGACACACAGCACCCGGGGCAGCCCAGGGCGCCAGTTCCCAGGGGGGATTCTAGAACAGGGTGACCTGGACCAAATCCATGTCCCCCTGGGCAATGTCCGTGTTTAAGCAGCCTGGCATACATTTTTAAAAATGACATCTAGATGCTCTATTTTTGCTGCTTGAGGTTCTTTTTGTGGTATGTCTGTGTAATATATTTCAGTATGCTATTAGATTTTCCTTAATTAAATCCTTCCCATCGTGAATGTGCTTTAAGAAATGAGGGGTTAGACTGTGAGTTCTGGAAGGGGAAAAAAATAATGGGGGGGGGAGTTATTTATTTTTTATTGTTGTATAAATGTCAGAATTCTTGCTTGTACCAAGGTGGACAGCAACACAGCATTGGTTGACAAATTGAAGCGATTCCAGCAGGAGAATGAGGAATTGAAAGCTCGCATGGACAAGCACATGGCAATTTCAAGGTAAAAATAAAACAGTCCCGTTTTTCCTGAGCTGCTCCCTTCCCTGAACATCTGGCATTACTTTCTTGCCACACTTTACCGGGGCACCTCCTGGAGATGCCGCTGAAGCCAGTGGTGAAGGGGTCCTAATTTCTCCCTGGAAAATACGATTGTAGCAGCTCATGCTTTTTACCAGAGGGGCCTGGACCGAACACTGAGACCTAAGAGCTCCAGACTCCTTGCAGAAGCTCTGGCTTCCTGGCTCTGACGATGCTTTCGGACAAACAGTAATAGAAAACAGCCCCAATTGTGTAAGATAATCATGGAACATGTAGAACCCTTGCAGAAGTATCACTCAGCCTACTGTGAAATTGCACAAAGGGTAGATTCTTTGTTTTGGGCTCAAGCTCATACTTCTACTATACTTGGGTTTCTTGGCCAGCCACATACCTTTGAGCTTGTGCAGGATTGTTTTATCCCAAAGATGATAATTTGGGACTTTCAAATTTAAAATGGTAAAAAAAAAAAAAAAATTCAAGGTTTTTTTTTTTTAAACTTAGATTCACATAGTTTCTTGCTCTTTTCCACCTTCAAGGCAACTGTCCACGGAGCAGGCTGTGCTGCAGGAGTCCCTGGAGAAGGAGTCGAAAGTCAACAAGCGGCTGTCCATGGAGAACGAGGAGCTTCTCTGGAAGCTGCACAACGGGGACCTGTGCAGCCCCAAGCGATCGCCCACGTCCCCCGCCGTCCCTTTCCAGTCGCCCAGGAACTCGGGCTGCTCCTCCAACCCCAGCATCTCACCCAGATGACACTTCCCGGAGACTGTCCGAGCGCGCGTTCTGCAGGACTGGCCCCGACCGTGATCGCGGGCGCAAGAGCTACATTAGCTCTCGCCGTGGTCACCGCGGGATAACTGGAAAAGTCACCACCGCCCCGCATCGGCAACTTCCGAGACTGGAACTCTGGAGATGGGGGTTGGGGGGGTTGGGAGACTCTTGGACTCGGTCCAAAAGACTCCTCCAAAAAAGATTTCGCAGCCGACCTCGGACGTTGTTGCACAAAGCACTTAAAGAACGAGAGAATCTTGTTCGTTGCCTTTTTTTTCACCTAAGCGTAAGGGGAAAAACTCTCAGGGGCCTATTAAGATAAAGATTTATAACCTTTGTAATGTTCTTCACCGCAGACACCTTCTTGTGAGTTTTATTTTGGTCTGGCTGGGGGGGCCGGGGTGTGAATGAGCTGGATGTTTAACAGTGTCACGCGTCTGATGCAGCCGCCCTGGCTGTGTGTTAAGTCAAAACTCAATCTTTCCTGGATCCCTACTAATCAAAATCAGCGCGCACATTTCAGCAAAAGCCATAGGAAAAAAAAGCAATAGTTGCTTGAATTCAGTCTTAGCACCAGCCCAGGTGGGGAGAGGCTCTGCTCTGTCTGTACATTCTCGGTATGTTTTTGGGGTCAACTTGTTGGCAGTTTCTCAACGTTCAGCCATGTCCCTTGAAGCTAGCTTGATTTTTCGGTAGGTTTTTTACTTACCCATGTGAGCCAACACTATACTATGATCTATTCTCTCAGGCTACAAGTAAATGTAGAACCCTACTTTTTCTTTAAAAAAAAATCTGTACAAAGAAACAGGGCAGCGCGCCAGTGGGTTGTGCTGCCGTATTTTTACCTTGATCTAAGCTGCCCTTGTAGATCCATGCAGTCCCCTGCTCTCCCATCAGCCTCATTCCCCCTTCACTTTCTCCACCATCCAGAGCCACAAAAGCAAACCTCCTACCTCCGACCTGCTTTTCTCTGGGACAGGGACAAAAAAAACATGCTTTCCCAGAGCCAGCTCATCTTCAAGGTGCTGAAGCCACTCTCCAAAATTACACTAAAGGCCTGGATCTGATACTATAGTTTTGGAGAAAATCTTAGACTAAAGAACAAGGAGAAGTCATTGGCTACTAGAACTAAAATAGGATTCAGTGCTTAGGGATGCAGAGAAGCACCTTGCGTTAAACCAATGATGCCGTATTTAATAGAAGAAAACAGTGGGGAAAGCTCATGCTACTTTTTCAGGTATGGTTCGAGGAATCCTCCTGTCTTGGGGAAGGTGGTAGAACGGCCAGCAAGTGCAAAATGTGGCTTGTACGGCTCTTCTCCAAGATCCATTTCGATTTCTTTCCAAAAATTCTTCCCCCAATCCTGAGACTTTGGAAAAGACAGAAGGACGGAAGGACTATGGCTTTTTCTCCCTCTCCCTGCATGTGTCAATGTTGCCATGTATTTGCTACCCTGCGTTCAGTGGCCGTACAAATAACCCCTATAGTAAGAAGAGCTTCGGGATACTAGAGGTGGATATTTGAGTCATTTACATGTACGTTACATAGCAAATGGATATTCATGGTGCATGTTTTCTTTAGTGATTGTCTGAAGTTTAACACGTATGTAACCTTCCACGTTTGCTTCTGATTAATGGAAACGTAGGTTCACTGCCACTTCCTGGGATGTCCCTGCTCACACCCCCAAAGTTGTCCTCGATGACATTAGCCAAAGTTGGGTTTGCCATTCATCCCCTACACGTGGTAAGTCTTGTGCTGTTCCCTGCTGTCCTCCCTACTATGTGTCTGGGAAATAAATCTTTCAGTAATTAATATAAAATGTTCTCCAGAGGAGAGAAGATGATAGAGAACCTTTTTTTTTTTTTAAACCAAATGTTTCACGTAGGATGCAAAATGCTGGCACGTCATAAAAATATGGATGTGTAAACAACTGTAGTTGTGCTCAGTTTGTAGTGATGGAAAGTGTATTTTACTTGGATCAAATAAATAATGCTGGAATATTCAATCTAAGAATCGCAACCTCTGACATACTTCACTCTGCAAAGTTGATGGCCCTTCTCAGAGTACAGTCATTAGGATTGTCTCCTCTGAAGCTATTTCCTGGGAGGGTCCCGTGCAGCCACAGAGCAGGGCAGGGGTCACAGCTGTGTGTTTGAGAAAAAAATGGTGCCTGATTTTAGTGATCGCGATGCTGTATAACATAAGAATTAGAGTAGCTGTGGTGCAGATATTTTTGATAAAAATGTCTAAACACAGTTGAATCTTCCTTAATCTGTGCATCTATTTTGTATTGGAAGTTAAACAGACTAATCTAGAAATAAGTACTTCTGTTTTTTGTTTTTGTTTTTTGTTTTTTTGAGATAGTCTCGCTTTGTTGCCCGGGCTAGAGTGAGTGCCGTGGCAATCCTGCTGCCTCAGCCTCCCATATAGCAGGGACTACAGGCATGCGCCACCATGGCCGGCTAACTTTTTGTATATACATTAGGTGGCCAGTTAATTTCTATTTATAGTAGAGATGGGGTCTTGGACTTTCTCAGGCTGGTTTTGAACTCCTCACCTCGAGCCATCCACCTCTGCCTCCCAGAGTGCTAGGACTATAGGCGTGGGCCACCACGCCCTACCTAGAAATAAGTACTTTTGAGCATAGCAGTTTAAGAGAAAGCCAAGTACCCCTGATGTTTCTTAATACCTTTATAAATTAGCTCACATTTGCCTTGAAGTTGCTACTTAGAAAAAGTGATGGGTCTATACCTATGAATCTTGAGTTGCTGCTTGTGGATAAGTAGTTGAACTATACATTAGTACATCTTAAAATTCTAATATATTGTAGTGATCATGGGTCAATACCTAGTACTCTTTCACAAATATTGCTGCCATGAGTCCTTGTGGATATACTTTAAGCCAACTTAAAAAACAAGCACTTAGGCCATTTTTTTTTACAAAAACTTGCTCATTTAATAGAAATGATTATATAAAGTTGTTTCCATATATACTTATAAAAACTAGGCAAGCAATCAAAATACATGCTTTCTGTTAGAAAAATTAACACTTCCATTAACAGACCACGGGACTTGCCTTTAGCGTGGCTGTCTGGGTCTGACTCTCAAAGCAGGGTATGGTGCTGGGCTTCCGCGTCCAGCAAAGTACTTACTAAGAAGAACCCCGACCCCGACGGTGCTCGTACCTGTTCCTCCCCTAAGTCCATTCGCACCTGCTTTTCCAAGTCAGGAAAACTCAACAGTGGTAGCGACCGTGGTCTGTCCTTGAGGATTCTGCGCCGTGCAAATGTAATACCCTGCGTCGATGGTCTCAAAGTCCTCCACCACGATGACACTCTGGGAGATCCTCGTGGTGTGCCCAAGTCCCCTGTGGATCAGCCTCCATGTGTCTTGGATGGTGACCGGCCTTTCATCCTGTTTGAAGACACCCGAATGGACAGCCTACTAGAACCAGCTCCCATTCACCCAACCCTGTTGAGTGTCCCTTTCAAAACACACACTTGGAAAAGACGATGGCATGCAGAGTTCATATGCTGTGGGCCTTCTATACCATATAATCATTATAGGCTGCATTTTTCCACCATTGAATTTGGAAGAAACTCTTCATGCTATTTGGCATTCGCTCTTGGGGCCTTTTCTTCAGTGAGTTTCTACTTACTGTAAAATGTATCCTTTTGGAATGCCAAGGAACTGGTATAAGCATTAAAAATGTGGCCAGAATTTTCCACTGCTTCCCTCTTCCTACTTTCTCCCACTAGCTTAGTGGCTTATTTACAGAATTGAAAGTCAGAGGCCAGAAGCACTCACTGGGGGTCAGTGACAGATTTGGGAGAGGGATGAGTAGGATTAGGCAAAGGTGTACCAAGGAAAGATAAGATACTGCATGAGATGACATTATTTTATTTCTGGAAAGCGAAATGGTCATTTTTGACATGGTTCAACCAAGGCTGGTGATAATATTTATAACTGAATACACCTTTTCTGCTTAGAAAATACCACTTAGCAATGTAGGAAAAAAAACAAACCCTCTATTGAAAATCAGTAATGTCCTCAAAGTGTGACATTTTTTAAAAACAAGCACCTAGTAGTACAGGGACATTGGTAAACCCTATTCCCTAGGGATAAGTGATTTTCCACCAAGCATCCCCTGTACGTCAGAGGCATATCAGCTCCATGCCATGGGGCACAGCTTGTACACAGAACGCCCCGAAGGATCCCAGAACATGGGACTGAAGGTTGTTTCCCTTTCATGCCATGGTCCCTTTACCCTTAAAGGTTTTAAAGAAAACTTGTGTATGAAGAGGATACATTCAGCAAGTTGCCTAATGGAAACACCAATCCTTTATTCCCTGTCCTTTAAAAAAAAAAAAAAAATCCATCTGTAACTATATTAAAACTTCTTAAGCAAGCCCTGGCCCCTTTTATAGTCCCCAAGTACATTTCTTGTACTTTAAGGCCTGCGTCACTGGGTGGGGACAAAACTGTGAATTAAAGTGGCTGAGACTGAGGGGTGGCGCTTGCTCACCTTCTGCCCCGGGAAGATCCACCTGAATTCCACCTCCATGTCGGGCTCCCCCAGCACGGTGCAGAGCACGCTGACGTCGTCCCCTCCCTGCACCTTGTTGGACGAGGCCACGATGGTGGTCGACGGGGGGCCGCTGGGAACTGGAAACCAGAGGGAGACACAGTGACGTGAGATGGCGAGCAGGACACTGGAAATGGACCTGCAGACGCGTTCTTTTCTTGGGGCAGAGGTGACATATCTATCTTACAGCTTGCCCAGCTGCGCCAGGCCAGCACTAGCCCACCGCTTTCTGCTTCCTTTGCAGCCACCTTTCTCTCTCAACTTTGGGGGTCCGGAACTCTCAGGGACAGCCACCAAGCCCGTCATTAGGGGAGGAGGCTCAGAGGTCTCCATCATGCAAAGGGAACAACACGGTGAGATGGGAGAAGGCACTCAGGGAAGGAGCAGGGAGAACATAGTGACAACAGCCTGGGGGTGACAAGGAATGGGTAGGTGTGTGGCTGCCCACACTCCGAAGTCTAAATACACGGAGGAGCAGGGCACAATTGCGACCTGGCTTGGCAGTAGTATCTTCATTGCATTTCAGAAACAAATTCTTTGCCTCAGTGAGCCTTGAGCACGGCTGTGCACTAGGAACTGGGACAACCTGGACGACTGAGCCCTGCAGGCTGTGCTCCAGAGGACGGGCAGACACGGAGCAAGGGATCACACAGTTACTTTAAAATTTTAATTGTGGCCGGGCGAGGTGGCTCACGCCTGTAATCCTAGCACTCTGGGAGGCCGAGGTGGGCGGATCCTTTGGGCTCAGGAGTTCAAGACCACCCTGAGCAAGAGTGAGACCCCTGTCTCTATTGAAAAACATTAATTGGCCAACTAAAAATATATAGAAAAAAATCAACCGGGCATGGTGGCGCATGCCTGTAGTCCCAGCTACTCGGGAGGCTGAGGCAGGAGGATCGCTTGAGCCCAGGAGTTTGAGGTTGCTGCGAGCTAGGCTGAAGCCACAGCACTCTAGAGGGGGCAACAAGAGTGAGACTCTGTCTCAAAAAAAAAAAAAAAAAAATTTAATTGTGTTAAGAGCTATGATACAGATGCCCAGAGCGCTCTGAAAGTTCAGGATAGTCTGAGAGCCCGGAAAAGACAGCTTTGGGGAAGCAACGTTTGAAATAAAATCTCCGGGCGGGGGAGTTAAAGACATGGACAGGAACACTGTATGCACAGCCCCGAGGTGAGGGTGTGGAATGGTACACACAGGCTGGGCAGGGAGGGGTGCCACCAGGCTAGAGGAGGAGGGTAGAGGCAGGTCCGGTGAGAACACAGAGGATTCTAGACTCTGGTTCTGGGAGAAGTGGGAACCTACCGAATGGGGTAATAGGAATTACAATCATCTACAGTGTGGGAAATGGATTAAAGAAAAAAAAAAGGGGGGGGACCATAAGGGAGATCAATGACAAAGGTTATTCACATTAGTCCTGGTAAGAAATGACAGCGTGAACCCTTTTTTGCAGTGAGGATGGAGAGAGACAGGATTTGCAATTGATTTAATGAAAAGAGGAGAGATCACGGCTGTGCACTAGAACTGACAACCTGGACGACTGAGCCCTGCAGGCTGTGCTCCAGAGGACGGGCAGACACGGCAAGGGATACACAGTTACTTTAAATTTTAATTGTGCCGGCGGGTTGGCTCAGACCTGTATCCTAGCACCTGGAGGCGAGGTGGGTGGATCCTTTGGTCACGAGTTCAAGACACCTGAGCAAGAGTGGAACCCATTGTCTCTATTGAAAAAGATTAATTGGCCAACTAAAATATAAGAAGAAAAATCATAGCCGGATGGTGCGCATCATCGTAGTCCCAGCTGACTCGGGAGGACTGAGGCAGGAGGATC